AGTGGTCAGCCCCTCAGCCAGACATGGAGCAAGAAGGAAAGAGAAGGTATACAGGAACAGAGAAAGATAAAAGCCCCAAGCCCAAAGCTAGATGGGATGATTTAAGCTAAGAAAAGCTGGCAGAAACAAGCCAAGCTAAGGCTGGGCATTCATAATTAAGAATAAGCCACATTGGAGCACCGGACTGAGCCCCCCAAGGTCCAAATGAGGAGCAGAAGGAGGAAGAAAATGAAAAATTAAATCAGGACTGCGAGGGATGTGATCACCCACTGATACAAGGGGACTGATCTAATGAGAGTTCACCAAGGCCAGTTGCACTGGGACTGAACGAGGACGTGATCCAACCAGATTCTCTGAATGTGGCTGGCCCGGAGTCTTTCTGAAAAGCCATTGACAATGACACTGGGACTTGTTTCCTCTGCATATATTGGATTTTGGGGATCCAGTCTGTCTGGACACTCACCTTCCTGGACCTGGAGGGAGAGGGGAGGAACTTGAACTTCCCACAGGGCAGGAAACCCTGACTGCTCTTAGGGATGGAGAGGGAGGAGGAGAGGGAGTGGGGAGAGTGGGAGGGTGTTGGGTGGAGGGGCGGAAATGGAAACTTTTATAATTTAATAAAATTACTTTCTCATTAAAAAAAAGAATAAGCCTCTGTGTGTGATTTATTTGGGAGCTGGACAGTGGGCCCCTCAAAAAGCTAGAAGAGTAAAACATCAAACAATGGTCCCGATTAACTGGGCTACATCTCGAGTTGGCAGAACTTGGCATGCGGTGCTGCTTTGGCTGTCATTCATGAAGACCACAGTAGTGATGTGGCATGGAAGCTTGTACTAGGTTCCAGGAAAAAAAAAACAAAAAAACTTCTATCTGGCATCTTCTATGTGGCAGAGGTGGAATCCATGTAGGGTAGCCCTCCCAGGTCAATGCCTGAGGTAGTGGAACTAAGGTCCAAGTTGCCATGGACACTCTAGGATGGTGGTGGTGCCAGAAGCATTGCGTGTATGTCAAGGAAAGCTACAGGCACTGACTGGAGCCAGAGTGAAAGGTCGTGTGTGTTGCAAATGGCAAGGCCACAGGGGTAAGGATGGCCAAGCCCTTAAGAACCCAGATGGTGCCAATGGTGCGATCTAAGTTTTGGGCTCTAGTGATAGTGCTTAATATTTGCCCTCCCGGTTTGGGGTATGACTTTGCTCCAGTCCTTCCTTACACCCCTTGCCCCCCAGAACGGGACTGTTTACTCTGGACCACTAGGTGTTGGAAGAATGTTAATGTTTTGTTTTTTAAGGGCTCATAGCTAACAGTGCCTCGAGTCTCAGAAGAGATCGTCGGACTTGTGACTAATGCTGAAACTATGGGACTCATGAAGTGGAATTAACAACTTTGCATGGTCAGGTGGCCATGCATCTACTAGGACCAGCGGTGGACTGTTAGGGTTTGAGTCTGACATGCCCCAAAGGATGTGTTCAAATGCCTCTGTGTAAGGAACGCTTCACTGCCGTGACAAAAGTGGCAGCCTGAGAAGGGAGCTGAAGGTTTGTTTAGCTCACGGCAGTGCTGACTTCAGTCCATGGTCACCTGGGTCCATCAATTCTTCAGCCAGTGGCAAGTCACCAGTGTCATGGCAGTGGGACAGGGCAGAAGGAAACAGAAGCGGAGGCTTCCAAGGTCCTCAGTGACCTCGTTTCCTCAGCCAGGCCCTGCCTCCTAGGCTCCGTCACCTACCAATAACTCCATAAAATTATAAATGCGCCAATGGATTAACCCAGTGATAATGGCAAGACCGTCAGAAACTGCTTGAGGAAGGCCAGGAAGGCAGATGGGAAGAGAAGGAAAAGGCAGCGGCATCTTGTAGCCTTGTCTCTGACTGAAAGCCGATATGAGGAGCTGCGGTTGAGCTCTCTCTGCTTTATCAGGAGCTGAGGGGCCAGGGACCGGTTTCATTGCTGCACATGCACACTGTTGAGGGATCTGCATCCAACAGAGAGCCTGGCTTACTTATCATACCTCCTGTGTTGTGGTTGACCCTCTCTGTGGGCTCTTCAAGAGGACCATGGGAAGAAAAGCTCTAAAAGGGAGACCCAGTCTGCTATGACTTGAGAAGGGAAAGGCCACCTTATTTCCGTGACAATCCTATTCGACTCATAAATATGCGTTAAACCCTCTTCTATAACTATCAAACCTCAGATCTCATGCTGCTGTCTTCTCATTTGGGTCACCCTGTCCTGCGCTCTCACGAGGGCTATCCTTTTGCCTGGCTTTGCTTAACAAACTTCTTCAACTCTCCTTTCTGAGTAGACAGATTTCCTTCAAGAACAGAGAACTGAGGACGAGCTCTATCCAAGTCATAGCTCAGGTAGTAAGCAGTGTGAGCACGGGGCCATGCTTTCTGTGTGAGTCTGGAGTCTCGGCTCCACGTGCACTCTCCATCCTGGCTTGTTTTGCAATCCTCGTTCCTGTGGGGTTTTCAAGGACCGCACACTTCATGTGAGTTGCCATCCTTGCGGAGAGGAGAATCTTCGGCAGCAGTAATGCTGAGCTCCATCTCCTCATGGTTACAGAGAACCACCCTGTACTTAATGAACGCCTCTGTGCTGAATATAGGGAACTCTGGGGAGATTTCCATTCCTCAGTCCCGAGTTAGATCGGATAATAGTGTCTTGCTTCAGAGGATAAGGCCGTCGGAGGCTCATCTTCCCTGCAATGCCCTGAGTTACTTTCTTGTGCTGATATAAGCGAGGCCAGCCACATGAGACCCTGCGGAGATGAGACAGCTCTGAAATGACGCCACAGTGATGCGCTAATTAGCACATCGTGGTGGCCAGGCTTGCTCTCCAGAGCCTGCCTTGCAATCCTTTGCCTGCAACCCTCTCTGCCTCGCTTTTGACACGGTGTACAACCCTTGCTTATCTCTGCTACCACCCGGCTGTACTATTTATTTGCCTGCTCTCACAGGCATAGAAACCTAGAACAGCAGATGCTCAGCATTTTACCAAAGCCTCTTGTAAAACACGGGTGTGCACACATGCACAAGCCATGTGAGCAGTTTGGCTATAAGTCCTCCTTGAAGCAGGCTCAGGATCTCAAACTCATCCCTTGCTCTCACGCTGAGTCGGATGCCTGATGCCCTAATGTGGGGGAGTTATCATCTGTGCCAAGGAGGAGTGGGTGTGGCTCTGTTTAGCCTGGGTGGACTCTGACTTTGCTTTCCATAGGTTGTTCAGTCTCTGACTCCAGGTGAGCATATTGTGTTATATTTTTTTTCTTTTTGCTTTTTTTGGGGACCCACCACCCAGCTCCCAAATAATTCACACACAGAGGCGTATTCTTAGTTATGAGTGCCCAGCCTTAGCTTGGCTTGTTTCTTATCAGCTTGTCTTAGCTTAGATTATCCCAATTACCTTTCGCCTCTGGGCTTTTTATTTCTCTCTATTTCTATATACCTTTCTTTCTTCTTACTCCTCCTCTCCTTGTTCTTTCGTTCCTCATTCTCTCTCCTCCCAGGGTTTCTCCTATTGATCCTCTCTGCCTGCCAGCCTCGCCTATCCTCGCTCCTGCCTCGCTATTGGCCGTTCATCTCTTAATTAGGACCATCAGGTGTTGTAGACAGGCACAGTAGCACAGCTTCACAGAGTTAAATAAATGCAGTGTAAACAAAAGTTACACACCTGAAAATAATATTCCCCAACATGAGCACCTCATGTCTTGCCATTTTAGGGGACTTTGGGATAACGAAAGGGGACAGAACTGGCAGGATGCCCAATCTCAGGGATCTTAGCCAGCGCAGTTAATTATTACAGGCACGGGTGGAAGCGTAAGGGAGCAGATGACTAAATCTGAGGCTCCCCGGGGAAGGGCTGCTCTCACCTCCTCTCCGTGGCCAAGGCCTGAGGAAGGAACACCTTTCTCCTTATGGTGTCCTGTTTTTCTCTTCCGGATATGGAACCATTCATCCCCCCAGGACTTGTGCTTTGATGCAGGGGTGAGGGGCTTGGTACTGCCAGGCTTTGTTGGGAGGTCTTCTTACCCTCTCTAAGGGGCGGGATGGGGTTGGGAGATGGGAGTGACAGTAAGGGGAGGTGGAACAAGTGAGAGCAGGGTAGGGAAGGAGGATTGTGGTTGGTATGTAGAATTGAATAAAAAATAACACTTGCACTTCCTCTGTAACACAGACTGGCCTCAACGATGTGGATACTGTGGAGGTCTGGTCTAAGAACTGGAGTCTAGACTTTAACAACGTTTTCTAACTATATCTCTTTTCCTAGAACTGGGGCCCATGGATGAAAGTTCCCCAGTTCCTGATAGTGTTTCACTACTCCTGGTTGGAAAGGAAGATCATCCAAGTGGGAAAATGGAAGGATGAACAATTAGAGAGATGCTAAGTCCTGAGATCTGCATCCCCAAAAGCACTGACCGGGGACTGGAGGTGCCGGGACCAGGGGACCAATTCCAAGACACCAGGATTCACAAGTTCATGGGCTACCACTAGCTAGTTCTCGGTTAAGTGGCAGATACTATACAAAGGGCAAATGTTCTGGGCTCATCTTTCCATCAGGCCTTGGCAGTGAGGCTCCGAGTCAGCACTGCATTCTCCTTCCCCTGGGTCTTTATGGAAAAAACAACCGTTTGCTGTGTCCTCCAGCTCCACAGAGGAAGCTGCTGTGTCCTAAGCTGCAGTTACAGGGGTAACACGCAAACCTTTCTTCTTCCTTGTGTATTTTCTCTTCCTTCTGCTTTTCCTTTCTGGTAGTAGGTAGGTAGTAAGTGACTTTTACAGTTCAGTGTCCCTTGTCCTTTGGAAGTTTTGTTGTCACGGGAAGCTTTTGCTGAACTTCAATGTGTTAGATAGATTAGTCATAGCTTAGACTCCGAGGAGGAAGATTCTGCGCAAGGCCCACAGTCGGCAAGAATATATACTCTAGCACTATGTGGACAGCTAACTCTCATTTATTTTATTCTGTGATATGACTTCAACTTCTCTCTTTCATATTCAAGTTCATAAAAATAGGGAATTTTCCATAAACTTGTGTGTCATCCTCATGCAGGGGAGCATGGTAATCTTCTGTGTATTGTTCCAGTTTTAGTATATATGTTCCCGAAGCGAGCACTCGGCTTCCTTTGAATAGGTTGGTGAACTTTGATGTGTTGCTCTGTCTCACTAAGGAAGAGGGTGCAAAGTAGGAAGGAGCCAATCAGGGGATAGGTGTAGAGAAGGATACAGGAGGTGTTTGGGTAAGAAAAAGCAAAAAAAAAAAAAAAAGAGCACACACCTTTAATCCCAGCACTCGGGAGGCAGAGGCAGGTGGATCTCTGAGTTCAAGGTCAGCCTGGTGTACAGAGTGAGTTCCAGGACAGCCAGGGCTGTTAACAGAGAAACTCTGTCTAGAAAAACCAACCAAACAAACAAAAAACAAAAAGAAAAAGGAGTGGGTAAAAAGAAAAGACAATATTTTTCATCAGAGAAGAATTTTGTATAGTAAAGTAAGATTTCTGTTAAAGTGAAATGCCTGGATTCTTTCCAAAATGGAAAAGGTGAAGGCAAACCAGAAGCCATAAGCAAGCTGCAAAAGGTCCAGGTAGTAGACAATGAAGCTTCAGGATTATATGTAACACACACACACACACACACACACACACACACACACTCTTAAACACACTCTTTTTTTTTTTTTTTTTTTTTTAGTAAATTTTATTAAATTATAAAAGTTTCCATTTCCACCCCCCCCTCCCAACACCCTCCCACTCCCCCTACTCCCCCTCCTCCTCCCTCTTCGTCCCCCAGGGCGGTCAGGGTTTCCTGCCCTGTGGGAAGTTCCAGTTCCTTCCCCCTCCCTCCAGGTCCAGGAAGGTGAGTGTCCAAACAGACTGGATCCCCAAAATCCATTATATGTAGAGGAAACAGGTCCCAGTGTCATACACACTCTTAAAGGATTCAAATTTCTTGCTGGGCAGTAGTGGCACACACCTTTAATCCCAGCACTGGAGAGACAGAGGCAAGAGGATCTCTGTGAGTTTGAGGCCAGCCTGGTCTACAGAGTGAGTTCCAGAACAGCCAGGGTTGCACAGAGAAACCCCATCTCTCAAAAAACAAAAATAAAAGAGGGTTTAAATTTCATAAAATCAAAATGCAGCATATTGACATAAAACAGAAACCTGGTTCTTTATTTAGAACAAGGAGGTTTTCTTAAGATATTGATCTGTTCTTGGTAACATTTATAAGAACTGGCTTAAAGAACAAGCATTTCATGCTTATCAAGATAATTACTTGTGTTTTCTGTTTTTAACTGTGTAGGAACCCGAGTCTTTAATAAAATCAGGACTCGTTTCCAAACGAGTGGTAGGAGGAGTTGGAATGAAGGCTACTGCCTCCGCCTCAGGATGAGTGCACGTGTCCTGGGAGTGAGAGGTGGGTCAATCAAAGCTTGGGGGTCAAAGCTGAAAAGGGTAAAGGGCCCTGCAAGGTCATCCAGGACCTAGGAGGACACGACGTCTCTAAAATGGCCCTAAAACTCTGATGTCACCTGTCCTATTGATCAGAGAGGCCGTGGAGTCACCGGGGGTTAGATGTCAAGGGTGTACATCCTGGAAAGAGGAGAGTCACCAAGGGAAGAAATGTCCCCTAGGTGTCCAAGAGAAGCCACATGGTCAGCAAGACCCTAGCACATCAGCACAGCTGAGAGAAGAAAAGCCAATGGGTCTAATTAGGGGGCACCCCTGAGAGTAACTCTACTGGGTCTCGATTATCCTAACAGTAAAGGAGATTGTCCCAAGCTGCACGGTCTCCAGCACCCAGCAGGAAAGTACAACTCCAGAGGGCGGCGAGGGATATAACTGAGCAGGGATAGTGCTTCCCGCAAGCCCAGACTGCCTGAGTTTACTCTGCGCGACCCTCAGGGTGAAAGGGAGAACCAAGTTGTCTTCTGACTGCCACATATGCGTTCTCTCTCTCTCTCTCTCTCTCTCTCTCTCTCTCTCTCTCTCTCGTAACAGAAAGCAAAGTTAATTGATAATAGTAAAGGATCTAAAGTACCCGACCAGGATTCTGACCTTGGCCTGGTTGAGCAGAGTGCCCCAGGGTCCTCCAAGGATGGCACTCAGATCATGGGTTCCAGCCCGCTAAGTCCTCCAAGGACTGTCAAGCATTTAGGGCATTACTAATTTGGTTCTCCTGTCCTTCAGAAAACCCTAGTTTTTAGAAAGTGCTCATGGTGAGTGCTCTTCAGAGCAGAAAACCAATTGAGAACTTATATATCTTCTTTAAAAGGAACCTCAAGGGTTCAAGGTCAAATAAACAACCTATTGGCTCATATCCTAACTCCTGAGTTGTGGTGATACCTTGTTTGTAATCTAACAAATAAAGCTTGCCTGAGAGATCAGAGAAGCAGTGCAGCCAGCCACTGGAGAGACCTTATGCCTCTACCAACGCTCAGACCAAAGGGGTGATCCTGCCTCTAGGAATCCTCTCTATGAAACCTCAGACTGCGTGCTCAGAATGAATCCTCAGACTGTATCTGAGCTCCTGTCTCCTCCCGCTTTATATTCCTCTCTCTGCCCAGTCATATCCCTTCCTATCTCCACCTCCCTAGTGCTGGGATTAAAGGCATGTGACTCCCAAGTACTGGGATTAAAGGTGTGGACCATTGCTACCCGGCTCTGTTGCTGTCTTAGACTGGATCAATTTTGTGTAGCCCAGGGTGGCATTGAATTTACAGAGATTCATTTGCCTCTGTGGCACTGAACTCACAGAGATTCATTTGCCTCTGTCTACTGAGTGCTGGGATTAAAGGTGTGCACCACCACTGCTTGGCCTCTATGGTTAACTGGCGGCTCTGCACTCTGCTCTTGAAGCAAGCTTTATTTGTTACAGCACAAACAAGACATCACTATACCACGTTTGGGGCTTCTCTCACAGTGTGTGTCTGGACAATATTTGTGCCCACATGTACCTGTGCCTCACTAAACAAATGTTTCCTAGACTGCTTTGAGCATGCTTTTAATATACTGTATTTTTTCTGTTAAAAACTAATTTATCTGGCTCTGAGTGAATGTAGCCCACTCTCTGTTTAGTATCTCCTCAGTTGGGGATATTCTCTGGGGGGAATGTAACCTCAGCGAGGTCTGCCATTGTCATCCTCAGGCTCAATCTACAGTCTCCACTTTATTCCAATCTTCAAAATATATCCACTAACTTTCAGTCCAGGGACCCTCGGGGCTTGAGTGGGTAGCTAGCAATACTGAGTAGCTATACTCAATGGTCATAGCTCAATTCATCTCCCATCCTGATTCCTTTTGCTTTATGAGGGCTTGCAGAAAAACAAACCAAGAACTAAGCATTTGGCTACTCCTCATGGTGCAGAAGACTTTCAATGCCTGTTATCTTCCTTCCTGGGTATTCCTATCCCCAGGTCCCTTTTTCTCACTGCTAGAATTTCCCAATCACTCTGTAGATGGATATGGCCACGGCTGGCCTTTCTATTGTAAAATGTATTTCACTCTGCAATTCTGGTCCCTGCTTCCTCTAATGGCTACCCTGGTTTGGTTCTTCCAGAATTCAATAGACTCAACTTCAGATGGTCATACGATGAAGATATTGATGCATCTCTCCTGGGCCAGATCTCAAAGCATCATCTTCTACACTAGATCAAATGGGACAGCATTTCTGTGGGACTTGCCGGCCAACAAAACAAGCAGGTATTTTATATCAATGATTTCTGCAGCTGCCTTGCTTCCTAACATAGACAGCACAACACTGGGGCCATAGGCAGGGTTTATGTCTTAGGAAGTGCTGAAGGGAGACCTCTATTTTGCCCTCTTATAAGAATATGAGGCTCCATATTGATTGAGAGAGGAATGAGACCAGGTAGGCAGGGGTTAGACACGGTGGAAGAAATCGCAGCTGTGGCCTTTGATTGTCAAAAATATCCCTTGGTGATTGAAGATCCTTGATGCTACAATTAGGTCTTCCCACTACATCAAAAACAGAGACTTTGGGTAATTTCCCAGTTGCCACATATGCACGCCAGGGGAGGGTTTGCATGGTCAAAAGATCCTGACTTTATTATAATACCACTTGCATTGCAACTTTGTCTTCGTGCCTCCCTAGACTTTTCAAGAGAATCATGGAAGAAATACTTTAAAAAGGATGAACTGGTGCACCATGATTTGGGAGAGAAAAAGGGTCACCTTATTCTCATAAATCTATCTCATACATAGTCCTACCTCACATCACTTATCTCCAACATAGTCATAAAAAACGGTGAATCTGTTGTCTCTTGCTGCTGCTAGCCCACCTCAGGTCCACCCACTCTAAGCACTCAGATGTGTACTATCACTTTGCTTTGCCCAATATACTTCAGCTTAAAGAGTTAATGTTTCTCAGCTGAATTCTTCCCTTGGCGGAGAAAAGAAATGAACTCTCCAGTGCAGTAGCAGTCACTGCCTGCAGGCCACCTCTGAACATGTGTTCAAGGTTGAGCCGTGAGCATGCAGCAGTTTGAGTGGCATTTCCCACCCAAACAGTAACACCACCTGCAGTTTCCTCTCTCTCTGCTGCTCCAAACAGCCCCTGCTCTCCTTTGTAGAGGACTTTCCAGCCTGCCCTGCCACGCAGTAACAATGTACTTCGCACACAAGCTTGCTGCCCACGTAGAAGGGATAAGACTCCCAGCCCTTGCTCTTCACGGCATGTTGGCATCCTTCCTCCCTCGTCCCTTAGCCTCGGGCATACAGAAAGATCTACTCCCATCCTTATAATTAGCATACTAACTCCCAAGCTTTCCCAACACACTCCTCCAATCATGATGCTTCTCTGAATTCCAGTAAGTCCCCTGAACACTGTGGCTTCTCAGTGCCTGGCTTTCCTCTTGTCCAGTGATCATGTCCTCAAGCCAAGCTGTCAATCCCATATCACACTTATGCTTTATGGTGGGAGTCCAGTGGTGGGGATAACCCTAGAGGTCCCAGCCTGCTCATCTCTAGACGGCATCAGTTCCTGAACTAAAGTTCGCCCAGAGACTCAGCTCCAGGCACCTCACTTTCTGCCCACCAGCTTCTGCATCTCCGCCTTATTCTCTTTAGTACCAGTACTCCAAACATTCTTCCGTCCCAATCTCCATTAGCTGGCCGTAAACTCATGATCCTGCACCTCCTTCTGACTGCACTGCCCTCAGCACCCATCCAGATCCCCACCCCAAATCATCACACACCTTCACTCACATCCTCAAACTGTAAACTGACCCAGTTCTCCAATGACTCTGTGCCAGCCCTCTAGAAGCACAATGAAGACAGATAAAATACAGGGTCACTCTAGCTACTTTGTAGCAAAGCTCCTTGAAAGGAACTTTTGCACTTCCTGTCTTTGTTTCATCACTGCTTCTGGGACTCATTCCAACCAAGCTTTCCCGCCCATCAGCAGACCAAAACTCACAAAAGACCTCCAGGTTACTAAAACCAGTGAGGCATTTCCTGCTATCTTAAAGCAGCAGCCTTTGCCATGCCCTTCTGCTTAGTCTTCTTGTTTTCCTCCTAGCTTGGGCCTCCATCAGCTTCTCTGTTCATTTGCCTTGTTGACTGAACTCAGGAACTAAATCCTCACTCCAACTCTGAGAAAATCCAAGCCTTTGTTCTATTTACAGGTGATGGAACCAAGTCAGGGAGGAAGCAGGAGACTCAACAGGCTTGTCAGTGGTAAAGCCAGAATCTCTCTCTCTCTCTCTCTCTCTCTCTCTCTCTCTCTCTCTCTCTCTCTCTCTCTCTCCTCCTTCCCCCTCCCTCCCTCCCCCCTCCACCTCTCCCCCCATCCTGTCCTCTATCATTTCACCACCACTCCTCTAGTCCCCTGTCTCTATGACTCCCCATCTCCCCAGTGCTTCCCAACTCTGGCCATCTGCTCCTTCACCTGCTGTGCCCCACACATGAGCCCCCGTTCTCTCCTAGTAGACACCCATCATAGACACCATCATCATCCATGTCTCCCACTGTGGGGAGGAAGCTGGGGAGACAACAGGAGGCAGACACACTGGCACACAGCTTGGGTAAGACATTTACTCAATGCTTTCAGATGTGGCCTCAGTGGCTCAGCAAGGGGGAGGGACAGGGAAGGGACACACAGGGCATCCTTCAATCACTGTAGCTTCTGGAAGATGCAGGTCTTGAAGTGTCCATTGCCAGTGCTGGCTGATCAGCTGGAACTGCAAGAGACAGACACTTAGCATTTCATGCTGCAGACTAAGTACCCAGCCATCCACACTACCTCCTCCCCCAGTCCCTAAAGTCTGGCTTCCATTCTCCAGCCTCACCATGGGGAGAAGTCCTGTGCTTCCCATTTCTCCATTGATGTGTTCCCCTCAGAGCCAAACTTATCATTAGTCTTGTCCCCATCGAAATTTCCACAGGCTCCACACAGGATGGCCTCATGGTCATCACCGACTATCACATCCAGATGCCCATCTATTCCAAGTTGGACCTGGACCCCTCCCTCCTGTTGGACCAGCATGGAGCCATCAGGCAGCCTCTTCACAGACACAGATGTTAACACGTTAGCTGGGAGATCCGCTCGGAGACCGTTCACCTGGTGTGGGGGAGGGGAAATGGAGACGTGAGACCTGAGTGACAGAAGAGCTGAAGGACCTCAGCTGGTGTCCTCATGCACAGTAATGATTCAAGCACAGGGACGGGCAGGCGCTGGCAGGGATGGGGCCTGGAGAGGAGGGTTACACGAGAGATGCACAGGTGGGAAGACAGCAGGAGCTGTGTGCATGCTTATGCTGCTCTAATGTAAAATTAATTAATGTGTATGCTCATGCCCTGATACAAATGTGGAGGTCGGTCGGCAGCTTATGGGAGTTAGTTCTCTCCTTCTACTATGTGGGTTCCAGGGATCAAATTCGGGTCTCATTAGGCTTGGTGGCTCGTTTCCTCACTAAACCATTTCACCTGCCCAATAGCAACTTACGAGTTTTGGCAGGACATCTTTCTGATACATTGATAAGGATAGAAAGAGGAGGAGTGGTGGCTTGGATCAAAATTTCTCCACAACTTTCCAAGGTCTGGTGCAAAACATTCTGTACCAGACAGAGAAGCAAACCAGGAGTTCCAGATGTGAAATATTAAATCATAATGTTCAAAGTGAACAACCCTCTAGGTTGTCTGCAAGTAACTGGATCTCCAGCAAATGCAACTGTATCGGCTCCTCTTTTGGGCTTGTGTCTGAATGAAGGTGACAATCCCAGAAGTGTAATACCCATGCGGGACATTTCCAGTTTCTTATCAGGGGCTGCAGACTCAGCAGCCTTGTGACTGTTTCCTGGCGTCTGTCTGTTCTCCCCGATGGGTTAAGCTTTCTTATGTTAGATTCCCCAGTGAAACTCTTTGGAAAGAGATGTTCCCACTCTTTCTCAAATGTTAATCCCCTGAGTCTCTCTCCCATGTCATCGGGGATGTAGGTACATAGGTGGGAAAGACAGACAGATCTCAGAAAACAGACGGGTGGTGGGAGGGAGGGAGGGAGAGTCAGAGAATGAGTAGGTACAGACGCTGGAAGCAAGGAGGGGAACAAGAGACGGCTGCAGCAAAGGACACACAGAGATGCAGCGGATGGACAGTCTTGCTGGCTACACACTCTGCAGTAAGAACTGGTTGAGTCGTTTCAGTGACCCAGCACGGTGCCTTGAGGAGGCTGAGCTTATTCACAAAAGTCAGGATTTCCTGGTACCTCAGGTACTGGCAAGAAGTGGTGATCTGGACTGGTCTCTCATGATGATAACAGTGGGAGCCATTTTTGTCCATGACAGGCAGACAGTGCCAATGTAACCAACATCATTGGAAACTTGAAGAGATGCTTATATGAACGTCCCTGAAGATATTTCCCAGGCTTTGTCATGACTGTTGTTGGGGGATTTAAGGACTCTGTGATTCCAGTAGGGGACCCTTGGGAGCGAGTGCCTGTGTCCTTAGGACTGCACTAGGTGGCTCCTTCCTCTTGCTGGTTTGGCCTCATGTCCTTTTTACTGTGATCTGTCTTAGTTATAACTATATGCCGAGTCCTCTGAGGGAATCATGGTGCCTCTCTGAGAATGGCTCAGGGGGAATCCTGATAAGTGACCCCAGCCTGGCCAATTATAGCATGCTTTGCTTAAGATCACATTAATTAATTCCAGTATTGGACACATGGCATAAAGCAGCCTAGTGAGATGCATCATAGGGACTTTCGTTAGATCACTTTGTACTAAGGTAGCAAAGGTGGCAGACGACAGGCCTGAGGCAGATGCTGAAGCTGAACAATTGGTCAGCAAGTCTGAAACCTAGAGGTGTGAACTGACAGGGTAGCTAGAGTGTCTGGGACCGTCTCTGGGTTTCCCAGATATGGACCCAGACCATTTATTTCCCCTAAGGCGGTTTGTATTTGTTTCTTGCCACTGGTGACCAGCGGAGGCTTGATTAAGACCAACAGCAAAGCTATGCTGTTACCTGAGTGTAAGAACTCAGGCCAAGGAGAGGGACCCAGGCTGACCTCTAGAGACAGGTACAAATCCAGAAAAAGTGCAGAGACCCAGATGAGGGAAATACCACAAAACCGTCGGATAGCCAGGATGTAGGATACCGTGATAGGAAGAAGGAAAGCCCAGGGAAGACGTCCGTGCCCTCTGTGCCCAGGCTTACCCACACGCCGTTGCTTCGGGTCACAGTCACAAGTCCATCCTCAAAGAAGATGTGGACTTTGTCCACGATCTTGTCATTGCCATCGCAAGACTGGACATCAGCAACCACACGGTACCAGGGCACAGGCTTCTGGATTCCCGGGCAGAGAGAAGAAAGCTCATAGACACCAGGGGAGCTGATGGCATTGTAAGCCCCATCGAAGGTGGTGAGGTTGGCCCCCACAGTGATGGAGCAAAGACCATGGGCAGGCTGACAGCTCCGGACTCCTTCTTGGAGCTTACAGACTTGGCCAGACGGGCAGGCAGTTGGATGGCATGACAGGCCGGTGCTTGCAGAGCAGCAACAGAGCTCGCTGCAGTCTGAGGTCAACAGTGAGGAGTTCACCTGTGCACAGAGAGGGCGGATGGTGTGCATTCACACAGGGAGCCTGTGGAAGCTCCCAGTGAGAGGTGGTGTGTGTCCTCTCCCCAGTGGTAGTCTCAATGGCCCTCAGAGGTCAGGCAATTCATCCCCTCACCACTGTCTCTGCCTCAGATTGCGCCTAGTTATTGTGAGAACAAGCCGGAGTTAGGCCAACCAGAGAATGAAAGACCACATGGCGATAATGTTACCAGCTCTAGACTATTTGTTACGGCGTGAATATGGCTTGTCTACCTGAACCCATGCAGGAGTTTATTCCTCAAAGTGGTATGTATGGAGAGATTGGAAACTTCATGTTTAGAAGTGAGGATTCTGCGGGGTGATTAGATTAATAAAGTCACCAAAGTAGAACTCCCAGGATTGAAAGATGGAGGCTTTTAAAGGCTAGGGAGGGGCTACACCTTGACAGAGGCAGACACATGCTCCTGCCATGGCATCACGCAGAGGGGGCTTCATGAGAGCCTGCATCATGAGTGCTCTTTAGACTTTAAGCCTCCAAAACTGTGAACTTTATAAGCCCATTTCCTCCACGAAGTAGCTTGCATTAGCTCCTTTCTTACAGCGACAGAGTAAATTCATGAGCCTAGAAACCAAGCAAACGTCACGGGACCCATCAAGTGAGGATAACACCCAGAAGCTAAGTGAGGAGAGAGCAGAATCCTCGGCTCAGACTGGAAACACACAGCTATAAAAACAAGTGACACATTAGAAGAGATCTGTAATGCTGTAAGAGCTAGCTATGTGTAAGGGTGGGCAGTGCATCCCCACGGGGTACGATAGTGGCAGCACAGATGAGGCATTCCCATGTGTATCAGGCCCCCAGGCTTTAACTGACCCATGTAAGAGAAACCATTCTGACCTTAGAACTCAGCATGTAGACTCCAGCACCTGCCAAAATGGAAACAAAGACCTAATCCACTGAAGACCTGGTCCATAGTTCCAGAAAAGTCCCTAAATGTACTGACCTTGCTTTCTGACTTCTGTAGTTCTGCTTCTTGCTAACTGAAGTGTGACAGCCAGGATGTGGTTTTAATACATAAAAGAGATGAGGGACTGCAAGACTCGGGGCTACATGATCTGGACGAGTTCCCCATGCAGATGCTGGCTGACAGTGAAGACTCTGATTTCAGCTTTGTGCGTGTCTGCATAGTGGCCCCTGCAGGACTCACCCCAATCACACATCGACCTCCCCTGTGTCTCGTCCCTCACCAGCTGCTCCTTTTCCATGCCCCTCTCAGGCTCCCTGGGCCCCCAGAGCCCCGACTCTATCTAGATCCCAGATCACACTAGATCCTAGGCTCTGCAGACTGTTTCTCTTCTGCCTCCTTTCACTCTCCGGTGAGGTCATCAGACTTTGTGAAAGCAATGCAGAGTCTGACCCTCAGCTGGCCCCAGCCCAGAGAGAAGTAACTGCTATAGCTGACTTTACTGGAACAGCTGGTGAATATGGTTAAAATCTACAGATTAGATAGCAGTGTGGAGTCAACATTACTTTCCTGGTTTTGATAATTGTCGTCTGTCATATAAATAAATTTCCTTATTTTTAAATGTGAGATTAGGAGGTGCAGGTAGATGCTCTGGAATAAGCTAAAAGGTAGAAGAAGGGGATGTGCACTGGGCTGGGGCACACGGCTGATTGTGAGAGCACTGGGGGGCTGCGGAGCTGACCTAGGGGATCTGGATGACTTCCAGGAAACAGTAAGACCCGAAGGAAGAAGAGTTTGGCTCCCTTTGCAAATGGCAGACATTGTCTAGGAAGAGTCTCTCTGTAAATGGGAGGAACGGCCAGCACATCTATCTTGCTGGACTGCTACGACTAAAGATGAATTAACATTTCAAACAAACTTGGCCACACAAAGAGCTTTTGAAAAGCATCAACAAGGATAAGTTAACTATTAAATCCCAGATCACACTGTTGAATGATTGGCAGCTGAGCCACCCACGGCACTGCTATAGATTCTATTCTTCTTGCTGAATGTGATGGATGGGAGAATGATCCTGTGCTCACCGGGTACCAACTGCCCTGCGCATCAAATGTCTATGGAGCCAGGATGTTGACCCAACCATTCTGCAAGTGAAGAAGTTCAGAGAGGGAAGGGTAGTGGAGGAATGCTCCCACACCAAAAGATAGCCATTCCCAATTCTTGGGACCAAGCTTGCTACCTTAAATGGAAATGTGTGTTTGCAGTGTGATTAATGTTATTTAGATGGAGAGTTATCCTGATTGTCTAGGTGGGGAATCCCGTGGACACTCATAAAAGGACTATACAGGGAGATGTCAGGTCACCCAGAGAAGTGATGGCAGACACTGGAGTGGTGTGGCCAAGCCCAGGAAAGACCGAAGCCACCAGAGGGTGGGAGAGCAAGGAGTAGATTTTCCTCCAGAACCTCTTAAGACAGTGTCAGCCTTCCACTGCTTTGACTGTAGTGCAGTGAGCCTGACTGACTCTTGGTCTCCAGACTGGGGAACTAAGTTCTCTTGCTTTGACCTGCTGAGTCTGGGGTGACTCAGTACAGCAGACACAGCTGGGGACGGGTGATGGTCCCCATGTCCCCATCCTTGAACAGAAACCCAGAGCACAGTAAGTCTGAATGTCCCTCCAGCTTCTCCACCCGCACTGCCTGCTTGGAGTCCCTGCTCACCGGCATGTAGTGGCCATTGTAGGTGCAGCCGCACTGCTGGGCAGGAATGCACACACCCTGGGAGAGCAGGAAGTGATCGTCACACTCACATCCTTCAAAGCAGCGAGTGCTGCACTGGGTGAGGCCAGCGAGAGCAGCACAGGAGCCCTGGCAGGAGCGTGTGCAGACAGAGTAGTGGCTGTGGGCAGGACACTGGAGAGCTGTAGGAGAGGAGGCAAGGGTGGTCACATGTGCTGTAGGATGCCAATGACCTGAATCTACTGAATCTTAGGCCTGGGGTGAGTGATTGCTGTAATCTGGATGTGAGGTACCCCCACTCCTCATTCACAGAAAAAAAAAAAAAAGTTGATCTCCAACTGCTGTATGCAATGACTGAGAGAACCCTGACCTAGTTAATGGATTCATGATTTGCACAGCATACCCGGAGACTCGACAGCCTTTGGTGAGAGACATACTTAGTTGTATGCAATTTACTAGGGTTCTATCTGTCCACCTGACAGAGGGCATGCCAAGGCTGCAGAGCCTTCCGCCTATAGCATGGTGTTCCTGGCTGGTTTTAGTCAGGTTTATAGTCAGTATCGAGAACAAAATCAGAGCATAAATATTTGACAAATGGTTTCTAAGGAGATCAGAGGTTCTAGAATGAAGCCGGGAACATTGAACTTGGAGAACAAGAACCATGATCTGAGGATGTCTTGGGAATCATCAAGACCGGGCTATCATAATCTGAAAAGGGGGAAGTGTGAGCTTGAAAGACTTTTCCCTTGAGGAAAGAGAGCAACTGGGGCACTTTATTCACTCAGGGCCACCTAGATGCTTGTTTACCCAGAGTTAATTTCACTATGCTCGCCCTCCCAGGCACTCCGAGACGACTGCAGACACTGAAGTCATCTGCATGGAGGTAAGTTTGTGAAAATGGAGACTGCAAGAGTTATGGGAGTCAGTGGCTTCCACCCAGATTTTAAAAATATCCTTGAGAGGCGAGGCCATGTGTAGTGAGGATAGGATCTGTATGGAACCCCTGAGCGGGTGAGGCAAGAGCTGTGAGGATGAAGCTGAGGATGCCAGGGAGTTAGAGAAAGCAGGGATGTGGGGCATGTGGAGGACAGCAGCAAGAAGTACGAGAGGAAACTGGGCAGAAGCAGAGGCACTCATGAGGCAGAGGCAGGCAGATCTCTGAGTTTGAGGCCAGTATGGTCTGCAGGATGAGTTCCAGGACAGCCAGAGCTATAGAGAAACCCTGCCTTAAAAAACTAAAAAAAAAAATGAGGAGGAAGAAGGAGGAACGAGAAAGAAAAGAAGGAGGAAGAAAAAGAGGAAGAGGAAGAGGAAGAAGAAAGAGAAGGAGAAGGAGAAGAAGACAGAAGCCATGAGGCCTGTAGCTGACAAGGCCTATAGACTAGGGGCTCCCACACTCTTTGGAGCTCACACCGTGTCCATATTTCCCCTGCTAGGTTTTGATCTTACTTTGGTTCCATCTTTCCCTTATATGTGACCAATCTTCCTTTTTAGTGAAGGAATGTGTACCCCATTATTCCACTGGATGCTAGAAATGTGTAATTGTATTTTGCTTGTTTGCAGAGGCTCACATCTAAGGGTCTACATTGAGTCTTGGAAAAGACTCTGGATTCAGACATTTAAGCCATGTGGGAACTATAAAGACTTTGGGGAGTTTGGGAGATGGATTGGACACAGTTTTCATTATGACATGGATATGAGTCTGCTGGGATCAGGGGTAGAATGTTTGGAGATGAACAGTTCCCCGAAAGACTCATACACTGAAGACTTGGTCTTCTTGGTGGTCTAATGATTGACTGGTACTTGAGTCATGAACGCTCTGACCTTATCAATGGCCAATCCACTGATGGATATATGGTTTTATGTGTTACTGAGGAAAAATGGATATTTTTGGAGGTTGGGCTTGATTGAAGAAAGCAGATCAGCTAGACTGGGCTTTTCAAGAATACCTGTTGCCTGCTCCCGGCTTTGAGCTCTGTGCCTGCTTCTGTCACCTCTATCTGCTTCTGCCGTAACCCCATCCTACCTCAGGCTCAAGCATGCAGTCAGTCATCCTGAACACAAATGCTTGACACCCTGAGCCAATGTAAATCCTCAAAAACGGTTTCTTTCAAGCATTTGCCACAGTACAAAACCTACCACAATGCTGCAGGGGACACAAGCGCTGAGGACCCTATGCTAAGGAGCTTGTGTCCAGTGGGATCGACAGCTCGAGTGGCCATGGCTGGTGGCTGGTTGAGAAAAGCAGATACAGGCTTGAATGGGATGGGGAGTCATAGGCCGAGGCTTGAAGCAAGGACAGTAGAAAGACAGGCATAGCTCTGGGCTCTAACTAAGCAATATCAGAGTGGTGTGGCTGTCATCGAATGGGCACTGGGATGGAGAAGAAAGATCGGATTTGGCATAAAATGCTGTACTCAGATTTAAGGATCACCGGAGGAGATTACCCAGGAGGCCATGGATACATAAGCCTCATACTCAGGAGGAAGTCCAGAGCTGGAGATGATGTCTAGTGCTATCACTGGGACAGTTGCTATGCTGTGGAGGGGATGATGGCACTGTGTTGAGTTCCTGCTCTCAGGAGACTGAAGGAGAAATGACTCTGCCATAAAACAAACATCAGCCTTGTCGTGCAGTCTGACCTGGCTTGTCCCTGTCCTGCAAACTGGAAAGAGGTGTGTGGCCCAGGATTGGGGGTTTAGCGGTTGCCACCATATCTGAGGGAAGGGTCAGTGAGCCACAACTCAGGACTCTTGTGGGCTCTCAACCCATCCAACTCCCTTCCAGGTCACTGCAGAAAGCTGAGAACGGCCCTGAGAAGAGGTGGGTGTGAGGTCTGGGGAGAGTGGACTCTTGACTAGAGTCTGAGACCCCTCAGTCAGAAGGAGAGTGGGAAAGCCACAGAGGATGCAGGGGCAGGGCTGGAGGAGGCCCTGTCACAGGCAAGGATTTCTCCATAGCCCAGAAGGCTCCAAGAGGGGTCCCCAGACACTCACGGCAGAAGTCTTTTGTCCTCCAGGGCTGCACGGTTGCACCAGCTGCCTGACAGGCTGCGGTATAGGCTGCCAGGCTACGGCAGAGGTACGCTTTTCTGCCCTTATGGGCACACAGGTCATACACACATTGGCGGAAGTATTCCAAGGGACTCAGAACCTGGTTGCAGGCCGCGAAGGGGCCTTGGGGGTTCCGCATTAGTCCACAGGCTTCGTTTTTCTCATGTGTTTCTCTCTCCTTGGCTGAGCATACAGGGCAGCCTTGGGCTCCACAGCCCTCACCACAGCCCAGGGAGGAGCCGGGAGCTCGCCAGGAGGCTCCAAAGGCCTCAGCACTGGTGGCTATGGCTCCACTGGACAACGCAAAGTCGTCACTCCAGTTCCCATTGAAGTTCCCAGAGAGGCCACAGATACGTCCACGGAAGGGACTAGGGATGGACAGGAGGATATGGGTATCACCATTGAAGAGAACCTTTAGCCCTCTCTTTGTCTGGAAAAACATGTTTTGGCTTTCCACAGTTATAAACATGGAGCCTACAACCACGGGCAGGTTCACAGCTTCACTGTCCACAGTCACCTGGGTGGAAAAGTCAGTCAGGTTAGAGGTCAGAGCATGTTTTAAGGAAGGCCCTTATTGTTCTGCAATAGAACTTCGTCTTTCTCAGACCCTCATGGCAGAGCTAGGGACTTTTTAGAGTGGAGTGAGGTCAATTCAGGCTCCCATGGTAGGGATGTCTCCAGTAGGTTTCAGGTTGGGACCTTCAATTCCCAAAACACCAGGTTCTGTGGTGATCTCAGGACTCCCCCCCCCTTTCTTTTGGTTTTTTGAGACCAGGTTTCTCTGTAGCTTTTGGAGCTTGTCCTGGAACTAGCTCTTGATGACCAGGCTGGCCCCAAACTCACAGAGATCCACCTGCCTCTGCCTCTGAGTGCTGGAATTAAAGGTGTGAGCCACCACTGCCCGGCCTGCTCCCAGGAGTCTAAGTTGTCAGTGTCCCCTAAGAACTTCCAACGTAGGGCATGACTCCAGATGACCCTACATGTGTCCCTCTATCAGAACAGGTTTGTGTCTACTCACCTGTGGCCCTCGAGCCAGGACCACAACATGGCCCGCCACGGTAACCACCACTCGCTGGGGTTCACCTGCCAAGTTCTTCTCAAGCACAATGGAGAACTCCTCATCTCCAGGTTTCGGGTGGCAGACTTGTGCCAAGATGTAGGAGCAGGAGCCATAAAGGTCATAGACAAGTCCATCGGGTGTGACATAATGAATGCCATTAAGGACCATCATTAGTTTAGAGCTTTTGGGATAGCAGGCACGTACGCCATCCACTAACCGGCACTCTTCGTGGATACCACAGGACTCTATCTGGCAGGTGACCTGCCCATCTGACTTACACTCACAGAGCCATTCACACTCAGGGCCTGGGTAGAACGTGGCACCCAGCTGGTAGTAGCGTCCATTGTAGAGGCAGCCGCACTGGCCCACGGGCACACAGGTGTCACCACTGAGCACAAAGCCAGAATCACAGGCACAGCCCTCACGGCAGGTGGTTTCACAGCCCTCGGGGGCCGAGAGGCTTGGGCAACTCACAGGGCAGGAGTCGCCACAGAGCTGGTAGTGACTGTTGGCAGGACACTGGATGGCTGTGGGGATAGAGCAAGGGAGAGTCAGGCAGAGGCAGTGGTGGCAGCAGAAGGGCTGGTGTGCAAGAGCCTGCCTGAGACAAGCCGGTGCCGCTGGATTGCTATGGGACCTGACATAGGACATATGACAGGGGCACTGATTTGGGAGCTCAGGTGTTGGGGTGTGACCTCGTCTCCCTGAGAAGCATGTGCCATCCTGACAAATACTTCTAAGGCAAGGGACCTTCTGGGGGATGCAACCACATGCATCTGACCAGAACAGACCAGAACCGATTACGGCTGCATCGGGGTGCATGACTAGGGACCCATGAGTGTGGGAGATCTGTCACCCTGACTGAAGAGAAGGAAGATGGTGCCGACATGACTGGAGCACCCGCTGGTCTCTCAGACATGCTCCGTCTCAGGGTGCGACCCTGCCAGTGTGTATGTGATTGGGTGCCATTGACAGGGTGCCCCTACTCAGCAGATCTGCCCGAATGTGCTGCCCCCCACGTCCTGATTCATTCTGCTTGGATCTGCCCAGGACAGGTCCTGATTCCAGCAGAGGGAGTCTGACGTCTGACCAGTGTGTGACAGGTGGTATAGGGTCTCACTGGGCTCTCTGACTACTCTTGTGTATGTGGCAGTGGTCCAGTGTGGGAGATGGTCCAGGGGCTTCTGACTGGGTGTAACTCCCTTGACCTCTGACAGGGGCTCCTTGCTGAGTAACTGTCACTGGTCATATCCAAGTCCACTAGGAAAATGTCCCTTCCAGAGTAGTCTGCACCCAGGCTGTGTGACTTCGAGTGCGTAGCTGGGTCCTTCCCTACCCCACTGGTGGTTTTCAATATCAGTGCCAGGATGTTCCTCTGACAGGAGGTGGTGGGGCTGGGCCTTGAGCTTCACTGGAACAACAGGGCTCTTGTCTTAGAGCCCCTGGAAAGAGTTGGGGGAGACCCTGTCTGTGTGGAGCTGCAAGGGTCAGTACTCACGACAGAAGTCTGGTTTCCTCCACTCTCCAAGTTGGGCCCCAGCAGCCTGACAAGCTGCCACATAGCTGGCCACGGCAGGACAGAGACCTCCTGGATGGCCCTCAGCTTGACAGGCATCCAGCAAGCAAGCCTCGAAGTACTGCGTGGGTGGCACGAGGCTGTGGCAGGGTGCTAGTGGACCTGCGGGGTCTGAGATGATGCCGCAGGCATTGGGGCCACCGAAGGATTCCTGTTCCTCGGGTGTGCAGATCTCCGGGCAAGGTTCAGGCTCGCATTGGTCACAGCCTGGGTCTCCGCCCACTTTCCAGCCCTCAGGTTTTCCATCTACATCTTTCAGGTCATCGTTGGGATTTTTGTTGTAGTTCCCGCACAGACCACAGAGGGTGCCTGCATAGGCTGCCGGCACGTGCAGGCGCACAAAACTGTAGCCATCAAAAGTCAGGGAGAGCCCTGCTGCAGTTTTCACCACTACATCTGCTCCACTTAGGTAAATGCTCAGTCGCTCATCCAGGTAGAAGGGCAGAGCAACGAACTCTCCATTCACCTGCGGGGCGGAGAGAGGTGAGAGGCGTCGAGTGTTTTGCATGTTCCCACCACTTATAAGATACAGGGTTCAAAGTAGGTTACTGCCCCTGCTATTTTAAGAGTAAAGACATGTGGAGTCATGGACTCTTTTTGGTTTTGTTTATATTCTGTTTGTTGCCTCTTGTAACAAGGAGCAACTATTGTAGGCTAGGCTTCTGCAAGTCTCTGCAACCCTCCTACCGCAGTCTCTGAGAGCTGAGTTAACAAAAGTGAACCACCCCATCAGACCATGTCTCTGGTTCTTTGTGCTACCGTGAAGCAGGTACTTTCAACACTCCTCCCTACAGAGGAATAACGGAAGGCTGAGTCTGGGGAAGCCTTTACTTCTAGTCTTCCTGGTCCCACAATGTAGGCTGAACCCAGCATCATGGTCCTGCCAAGCTGGGAATGGTCCATCCCTCATCTCTCCTGTCCAGCAGAGGCTTCGTGGCCCACAGCCCACTCACCTGTAGCTGCCTTGGCCAGCGGGCGCTAAGGGTCAGGCTGAGGCCGTAGATATTCAGAGTGACACTGCGGGTATAGCTGACCGCCTGGCTGCCCCTGTGCTCATTGACCACAGTGACATTGAAGTTTTCAATCCCTGCGGGTAGTTCTTTGCAGGGTGCGCTCAGCAGGTACTCGCAGGTGCCTTGGAAGTCAAATCGGTGCCCATCGAGGGTGGTGTAATGGGGATCACCCCAGGCTTGGCACTCAGCTATGCTTTCTGGTTGGCAGCCGAACTGGCCGGAGGGCAACAAGGCACACTCCTCACCCAGCCCACAGCTGGCAGACGTGCAATTCAGGGATTCACCTCCACAGCGACACCTCTCAGAGCAGCTGGCATCAGTCCAAAACTCGGTGCCTGCTTCATGGTATGTGCCATTGACCCAGCAGCCACAGCCACTGTTCAGGGGAACACACTCCTCAGCACTCAGCACGAAGCCCTGGTCACACTGGCACCCCTCCACACAGGGCCCGTCACATGCAGCTGGGGTTGTGTGGCGTGCAGGGGGCGGGCAGCTGGCTGGACAGGGTGGGCCACAGAGCTCATAGTGGCTGTTGTCAGGGCAGGCCATCTCTGTGGGCAGATGAAGGGCGGGAGAGAAATGAAAAATGGTGTTGGAGTGGCCTCTGGGCACGGAGTGGCAAGAGACATCAGCAGAGACAGAAGCGGACAGGGAGACTCCCAGATGCAGTGATGCAGTCGGGGAGGGAAGCCGAGACAAAGTAGAGCAGATGGCGTGAGAGGCAGACAGAGATGATGAACAGGGGACACACAGAGACAGCCAGGAGACAGCGACAAACAGCAGCCAGCAGAAAGACCCAAAGGGTGGGAGTGGAGCCAGCCCAGCCCTTGCTCTGGTCCCCACCACTCACCACAGTCAGCCTGAGTCCTCCAGTCCTTGATTTGGATGCCAGCAGCCTGGCAGGCAGCAGCATAGGCAGCCAGTGACTGGCAGAGTATGTCTTTGATGCCACCGCCCAGGCAGACATCCAGCACGCAGCCCTTGAAGAAGTCCTCAGGAGGCACATGGGCATGGCAGCTGGTGAAGGGGCCCACTGTGTCAGGAGCCAGAGGTCCACAGTAGCCAGGACCCTCATACTCCTCCACTCGGTCCTCTGGACACACTGGACAGGAACCCTGACATTCATTCCAGCAAAGAGGGTCCCACCCTGGAATCTGCCAGCTGCCACCCCAGGTGGGTATTGAGGATGCCGCTGTGCCGTTAGGGAAGACTTGGTCATTTTGGGGGTTTTTGTCCATGTTTCCACAGAGCCCACACACTGCATCATGGTAGCTACTGGGCAGCGTAACCTCTACCCTCCAGTTCCAGTCATAGGTG